CAACCGTAGAAGAGGGATAACTCGTGATGAAATTCAAAGAAGGTGAACGAAATTTTTAACCAGAAATTAGAGAACTCAAGAGACGTAGAATCCATGTGAAGAATTGAGTGAGATACCAGGATCAGTAACTGTCGAAAGACAATTTTTCATTTTTGTGACAAGGATTTGCGGCAGTCAGGTTATTTTACAAATTTAGTGTTCAATAATGAAGGGCCATAAGGACAATTTTGGAATATTATAAAAGTATTATTACCCAACGAAAAAAATAAAAATAAGGGAGGTAAATGTGATATCACAAACATAGGGGATGTTAGTGTTACCGGATCAAACTATTCTTAACATTTCCCTATATAACTTCCCACAAAGTTTTTATTATTTTCTTTTCTTCTCTTTTTCGTTCAGAGGACAACTAATTAAAGGTGAGAGAAAAAGGAACAAAAGTTTCATTACGAATTAATCTTTTTCTATTTTAGACCAACTAAAGTTGGCAAAACTTAACAGAGCAAGTTCTCTGTGTCAATTAAGTCCTTTGACCAGACAATGGAAGAAAGTTTATGATAAGGAAGTTTTAGCAACTCATATTATGTAATCTACACATCCAGGTATGGTTAATCAAAACTTAAGTCTTAAAATATCATTTGCTCGAATTCATGGCTATCGTATATTGAGCAATATGTTACTGATTTAGAATATTTTCAACATTCCAGTGTCCCAACAAGAAGGGCAGTCTTGGTGTAACTGGTAAAGTTGCTGTCATGCGACCGGCAGGTTACGGGTTCAAGCCGTGGAAACAACCTCATCCAGAAATGGAGGGTACATCCAGAAATGAAGGGTAAGGCTGCTTACTCCCTTCGGTGAGCACTCTGTGGTGAACACTCTGTGCGCACTGGGTAAACCCCCACCGTGTAGTAGCCTGCAAACCACACAGGGAATATAAACCGCACTAGACAAGTCTCGTGCGACAGGCTCAGACCCAAACCCAAAGGGCATTGAGGGTGGATCGAACACTCGTCGTCCGTGTGGACAACTCCCTCCAAACCCATTGGGCCGTCCCTTGGGGACAAACTCCTGCCAATGTTGCAGTTGGTAGTCAAGGTAATTTTCTGTTATGCAATTAACGGAAGCAATCTTCACTTATAGAGACCTGCATCTTTTTGAGCCAAGCACATATTTATTTCACGATTGACAGCGAAACTCGAGCCAAGAATGTAGAAGATACTATTGTTTGCTTTGTCTTTGAGCTTATACTGTCAGAGAAGACCTTTTATTTATTTATTTATTTATTTTAGTCTGCACCAATTATCAGCCATTATGTGTTTAATATGCCCAAACCTGTTGTTACGGACTCTATGATGTTCTGGCTCAACCAGTCTTATGGTTCTCTATTTCTAATTCAAGAGGTTTTTCAAAGTTTACCCAAGTTAATTAGGAAGATTTCTTCTTTGTTTCAGGTAGGAGAAGATGAATTTGGTCATATGCGTTTTAATCCCCATGGAAGGACAGTGTTGGCCTTTGTCAACTTAAGATAAGATGGTGAGAGATAGAGAAAGTTAATTTTTTTTTCTTTTTCGCGCTCCTTACTGAAGCAGAGCTGGACAAAGATCTCACTCACAAGGTTAAAAAATTTACTCCATGTGTTTCTTTGTGCTGAGAACTAATACTAATTGTTTGAAAGATGTCTTAAAAGGAATGATCATATTTTACTTCTTTTTAGGCAAAAGTCTCAGTTTTGCTGCACTGGATGTTGCCAAGAATTCAGGGTGCATTCTTTCTTATGACTCAAATCTAAGTATTGTCATCAAGCAGAGGCTGCTCGAAAAGGCATCACGAGCATTTGAAACCAATTAGCTGACATTATTAGGATAAATGCAGCTTACAAACAATTTAAATCTTGAGTAAGCAGTAAAAGTCCTCTTGCGCTTACCTGGCAATTGCATTTGATGACATTGCTGTAATGACTGAACTTTTCTACCAGAATCTTAAGCTTGTGATGGTAAATGAAGGGAGAGAGGGCTGCAGATTGTGACGACCCAAAGGGGTCATCACCTGTATTCCTACTCACTCTGTATTTCTGAGACCGTGAAAATCTCACTTAGGGGTTGCCTCGAATTTGTGTGCGCAGTCCGGGCGCGTAGCCGAAACGTTTAAATATGAATTTGTGAGAAAGAGAATAAAATTTTGATGTTTTAATTGATTAAGTTTGACTTCGGTCAACGTTCTGGGCAAACGGACCCGGACTCGTGATTCGACAGTCCCAGAGGGTCCGTAGGAAAATATGAGACTTGGGGGTGTGCCCGGAATAAAATTCCGAGGTCCCGAGTCTGAGGAATGAATTTTTACGTGAAATTTGTTTCCTGGAAATAATTAAAGAATTGGAAAGTGTTATTTATTTAGAAGACTGTGCTGTTGGGTTCGTATTTTGGTTCCGACGCCCGGCACAAGTCTTAAATATGAGTTAAGCAACTGCTGTGAAGTTTGGTTAGATTTGGACGTCATTTGACGTGTTTTGAGCTAGAGGTAGTAAAATTTGATGTTTCATGGAAATTGGAAGGAAATCATGGGTCTTGAGGCCTAATTCGATGTTGTTTTGGCGATTTGATCGCACGGATGAATCCGTAGGATGTTTTTGGAGTTATGTGCATGTTTGGTTTGGAGCCCCGAGGGCTCGGGTGAGTTTTGAGTGGGTCCCGGGAGGGTCTTGGACTTAAAAGTATCAGAAATTTGCAGGTCCAGGTGTTGCAGGCCCCCAGCGCGGCCGCGATCATCTCCACGGGGTCCGCGCTGGAAGTCGTGCGGCCGCGGTGCATTTTTGCGCGGTCCGCGTGGCTAGGTTCAGAGGGCCAGTAGTCCTAGGTCGCCCAGCGCGGCCGCGTGCCATATCAGCGCGGTCCGCGCTGGGAGATTCAGAGAGTGGGAATTTTGGTCCATTCCAACCAGCGCGGCCGCGCACCAAATCAGTGCGGTCCATGCTGGGTAGGTTCAGAGAGTCGTTTTCCCTCCCTTCCTCGGCGCGGCCGCGGGGCATTTTTGTGCGGTCCGCGCCGGGTCTCCAGTACAGTATATAAAGTCGTGATTTTCAGTCATTTTTTACTTTTTCAAAACCCAAAACATAAGAGGCGATTTTCCAAGCGATTCTACTTCTTCAAAACGATTGGTAAGTGATTTCTAACTTATTTTCTTTACTCCTTAACATCTTTAAACATAATTTCAACTTCAAAACAAAGATTTTAATGGGGGAATTTGGGAATTTAGGGTAGAACTAGGGTTCCTAAATTTGGGGGTTTTGGACCTCAATTTGAGGTCTGATTCCAAAATAACATATATATTTGAGTTCATGGGGAAATGGGTAGTCGGGTTTTGACCACGTGGGCCCGGGGGCATTTTGGGAATTTTTGAACAAACTTTGGGAAATTTTATTTTCATGCATTCAAATTGATTCAAATAGCATTTGTTAATACATTCAAGTAATTTGTGATTAGATTCGAGCGGTTTGGTGGTGGATTCGAGGGGTAAAGCTATATTAGAGGATTGAGTTGAGTTTGGAGCATTCGAGGTAAGTGTTTGATCTAACTTTGGCTTGAGGGAATAGGATTAGAGTATTATTTGCTAATTGCTAAATATTGAGTACGGTGTATAGGCATGGTGACGAGTATCTATACACCGGTGTCTAGCATGACCGTGAGTCCTTACTTGTGCTTATGTGGGATTCCGTGGTGACTCACCCTTGTTTACTCGATGGATTCGATATAATGTGAACAATATGAAGAGAAAATATGATTTGTAAACTCCTTGGAGCGTTGGCTCGAATTATGACATGATTAGGACGTAAGAAATGAACGAAAGAGGAAGAGATGTAATTACTCCCTTGCCGGGACGAGTAAGTGATTGTTGTTGCTCCCTTGCCGGGAATTAACTGTTTATTGTATTCTCCTTGCCGGGATGGTTGAATTGATACTAGTACTCCCTTGCCGGGAAATCATTATATATATATATATATATATATATATATATATATATATATATATATATTATGAAATGGGATCGTGTGGCACGCCGACCACTTATATATATTATGAAATGGGATCGTGTGGCACGCCGACCACTTATATATTATGAAATGGGATCGTGTGGCACGCCGACCACGTATTCTGTGTTAGAAGAGATTTGGTGGTAGTTTTCCTTATTTGTTCCTACCGTTCTATTTTATCTGTTATTCCCAAAAGTATGCTCCCCTCCCAGTCTTAATTATTACTTTCCGCTGTTATTTTTTTTTGTAGTACTTGTATATAAATATCTGCATAGGTTGTCTTGGTAGTCCTGTCTAGCCTCGTCACTACTTCGCCGGGGTTAGGCCATGCACTTACCAGCACATGGGGTCGGTTGTGCTGATGCTACACTTCTGTGCTTTTTTTTGCACAGATTACGGTACCGGACCAGCTCTTGGACCACAGCAGTAGTTGATCGGGAGCCCTCTTCAGTCGAGGAACTTACGAGGTAGCCTAGCTGGCGTTCGCAAGCCGAAGTCCCTTTCCATATTTTCTGTTTGTTCTCATTGTACCGAGACAGACATTATGTATTTCTCTATTCAGACTTGTTTGTAGCACTCTTTAGTAGTTCGCGAGATAGCGACTCCAGTCTTGGGTAGTGAAATATTAGACTTCCGCATTTTTTGGGTTTTCAGTTATTTATGTTTTAAAAGACTTCCGCATTTATTTAAAGGCTCGGTATTTTATTATTGTTATGTTGTTATCCGAAAATGTTTAAATGTTTGGCTTGCCTAGCTCCAACAGTAGGCGCCATTACGACCGCCGATGGTGGGAAATCCGGGTCGTGACACAGATACTACACTAAGGTTAGTGCTTCAACATTTGCAACTTGGGTAATAATACTTTAACAGATTCACTTCTGATATTGTTATCACAAATTATAATATCTGAAAGATTCATCATGGCTAGTGTTTTCGCTCTAATTTCATTCTAATTTCAACTGAAGCTGACAGGGAACATAATCCCGCAAATATGAAAGCAGCTAAACAGGTGCTTAATTTCATAGCGAGAGGAGCTTATTAATTAAGAGTGTCAATCAAAGGAAAATATAATACACATCCCAGTACAAACCATCTCAGAAGTGATCAAAAGATCCATCAGCTGCGCCTAAGAAACATGTCTTATTAGTTGCTTGCTAAAAAATGCACAATTATTTAGCATGAAGACTATTTCCACAATTGGTTATATACCCTTGAATATTAATTCTGTAAGGGACGCCTTATTCTGCACTCGGGTGGTCCGATGAACAATTCAGTCTCCACATCTGATTTTTCACTACTCTCTGTACAAAGAGCTTCACCTTCCTTTTCTCCACTTGATCCTTGTCTCTGTTGAAGGTCACCAAACTAAAACATAGGCATAGGACAACTATTACTTGCCTTTTACTATGATTTTATACTCAACAATGAATTATAAAGTCCAAGAGTTGAAGAAAGAAGACTATACTAAGGTTGAGGTTAAGGAAAACAAATTATACCTTCTCCCTCAGTATTGCATTTTCAGAAGCAAGGATTTTTTCCTGGATTTGTTAGACAGGAAAGCATTAAATAAACTAGTAAAGCAGTTTGATGGACAGAGACATTGACATGCAACAAAGTCATGCCCATATGTAAGTTGTTTCGACTTTGCAATCCTAGTTATCTTGAATTCACTCTTTAAATGATTGCATTATGCATGAATTGGAACTCATATTACTGTGTACTACTGTGTACCTTCATGGGAATTGCAGCTCAAAATAAATTAATAACTGTCGTCTTACCTTTTCTTTTAGTCGTTCAATTTGTTCCTTAAAAACTTGAATCTGAAAAGAACAAGCAAAGTAAATTAAATGTCAAGTACCCAAAACTTCATAAGAGCAGATCATTTCTTGGACTTCTATGAAGAAACCTTTCGTGCTCGGATGGTACTGACACTCCGCTCCAATTGTTTTTCTATCTGTTGTAGTTCTCCAAGGGTACAGGACTGCAGACCTTCTCCTAAGAGTTTCCTGATGCAAATTCTATTTGTTTTAGAAGGCTTTCAACTTACAAGGAAAGGGAGAGAAACGACTTTTGGAGATTGAACCTTTTAGATTCTTCAAGGAGCTCTATCTTCTTCATCAAACTTGCTGCCTCATGCTGCATATGCTGCATTATTGTGTAAGCTACATTAAGCCGTTTTCAATTTTTTGCACGAAACTAATTGCTTGTCAATTCAATCTAAGAAGGAGGCATAAATCCAAGGCATTACCTGCAGATTCTGTTCCCCAACTTGGTTTTCAGGTTGAACTTTGTCTTTAGTATGCCTCTTATATCGCTCTATTATCTCCTGCATGCTGCCAAATTCTCCCTATTACTCCTTTTTTTTTTCTTTCTTTTGAATAATAAACCCACAGGCAAATAGCATAAAGAATTTTTAGTGACAAATATTCTAATAAGAACATAAGCAACTCTTGGATTCCTCAGGTAGTTGATGAACCCACAGGCAAATAGCATAAGAATAGACCTCTATGTGATCACTCAGCTGTGGTAATTTATCTAGTGCAGAAGACTTTGGACTGTGGGCAAACAAGAATGTATTAAATTAACAGCATTTAACACAAGATTCAGTGGAACTACTACTTTTTTTCGCATTTCATTAATTAGACAGTTGCACTTTCTCATGCTGACGTGCAATATAATGCATCAGAAAGAGGCACGTACAAAGAATTACAGCCGTAAATCTACAAAAATCCAATAAAATGAAGAATCTACAAAATCCTATATACAGCTATCTAATCGTTTCAGTTAATGGGCTTTTTCAATTAGCAGAATCCTCCTACCAAGCAGTATAATGGGCAAATTTCCAAATCCTAGCATAAGCCACCATGCTCTTTGCAAAAGTAGGAGGTGATCCTAAGATGCACGGCCACTTCCGCGAGGCATCTTCTTTGAGCAGGAGTCTTCAACATCTTTCAACTGATAGTAGTGAGGAGCTATTTCTACAAGCCATTCTGGTTTCAGTTCAGTAACCTGCCGAATGTACTCCTTAGTCGTCAGGACCAGCTCGTGGTAGACAACCCATCTAGGAAGCCCCTGTGCTAAACCAGATCTAGGGTGAATGTAAACTGTCTGGGGATTTTTAACAGTTCGATAAAATCCGTTTTTTTGTAGTCTTGCTGAGTGTGGGAAAAATCCTGATGCTATAGACTTCTTTATAGCTTCCAGGTCATTAATATTTGAAGTCAACTCAATTTCCACTCTTTCTAGCAGGCCTTCCAATTGATCTCGGATATCCCTAGCTCTCTTCAAGCTTCTAACCTGAATGTAGTTTTCGTAGCACCACTCTGTGGAAAAGTTTGTTTCCTTCCAGGAATTGTAAACATTTAGCAGAGCGATGTGATCTCCCACGTTGCCCATATGAAAATTCATCCGTGCATTGTCTGCGTGGACTTGTTTGTCCTTTGGACGATAGAAGATTGAATTCCCCACAGAAAGCATTGCAGCAATACTTATTATTTCATCAGAGCACTTGTACTTTTCAGACGCAACAATCATCTTGGATAGCATGGGATCTAGGGGAAACTCGGCCATTCTTCTACCTATTTTTGTTAACTCGCCAAGCTTATTAAGCGCACCAAGTGCAAAGAGCAGTTCCAGCGCTTTAAGTATAGCTTCTGCCGGTGGGGGATCCATGAAGTCAAAATTCACCAAGTTAATAATCCCAAGGTTCTTGAGACAAAGCACCACATTTGCAAGGTTGGTCCTTTGTATTTCAGGGACTGTGTTATCTTCCAAATCATTCATGTAGTTATATGCAGTGTATAATCGAAAGCATTTTCCAGGACCTGTTCTTCCAGCACTACTAGAAATCCGGTAAAGGGCGACCACAAAAAGCGACCAAAGTTGGTCGCTTATAGGCCTAAAAGCGACCAAAAAGCGACCAAACATGCCTGGTCGCAATATAGCTGGTCCCTTTACTTTAGGGACCAAAGTTGGTCGCTAATTAGCGACCAACTTTGGTCTCTAAGGTAAAGGACCAAATATTCCGGGTAAAGACTATAGCGACCAACTTTGGTCGCTTTATTATTTTAATAATATAATTTTGGCGACCAAAGTTGGTCTCTAAATGTAAAATACGTTTTTTTTAATTTATTATTAATCATAAAAAAGCGACCAACTTTGGTCTCTAATCCAAATATTATATTTTAAAATTTGGAAAATATAGACCAAGGTTGGTCGCTTTTTTATTT